CGTAAGCTACCAGTCTAGGCAGATGAAGCCGGCGGAGCGCAACTACCCTGTTCACGACAAGGAGCTCCTTGCGATGCGCTACGCTCTGATCAAGTTCAGAGTGTACTTGTTGGGTGAGGATACCTTCGCGGTGTACACCGATCATGCATCGCTGAGGACAGCGATGAAGAGTCCTCATCTCTCCCAGCGGATGGCCCGCTGGCTTTCGTTCCTCTCCGATTACAACTTCGTTGTCCACTACAAACCCGGCAAGAACAACATTCTCGCCGACGCTTTGTCTCGGCGTCCCGACTACGACCCACGCGGTGCATTGGGTCGACAAGCTTCGCTGGATTAAGACGATGTAGACGAGTGTGCCACGTGCGAGGCGTCAGGCGTCAACCTGACGAGCGTCTCCCCGGTAATGCCACTTCGCGACGAGATCCGAGCTGCTTACGAACATGACTCGACGTGCTCCAGTATCCTGAAGCATCTCCGCTCTCCCAGCGCCGACACACTGGGAGCCCTTTTCCCCGCCTCTGTACGAACCAAAATCCACCGATATCGTCTCGAGGACGAGCTGCTGGCGTACAACATCGACAAACTTCGATGCCCCACGTGTCGTTGTCCCTAACGACCCCGATCTGCGCTCAAGGATTATCCATGAGTTTCATGATGCCCCGCTGGGCGCTCATCTCGGTCGCGAGAAGACATTTGCCGCTGTGTCACGCGACTTTTATTGGCCACACCTGTACAAATGGGTGCGTAAGTGGGTGCGCACCTGCGAGACCTGCCAGCGCATGAAACCTGCCTCGTCTTCGCAGGCTCCCTTGCGTCCTCTACCAGTGGCCACCGAGGCCTGGCGCTCGGTGTCGATGGACTTCATCTTCGGGCTCCCACCCGATGCTAAAGGACGATCAGGTGTCTTGGTATTCGTAGACCGCTTCAGCAAGATGGTTCACCTGATTTCGGTGTCGGATGCGATCACCGCGGCAGATACCGCGGTGCACTTCCTCGATGCTGTCTTCCGTCATCATGGCCTTCCCGAATCTATCGTCTCCGACCGCGACCCGCGCTTCACGTCGGCCTTCTGGTCAAAGCTCTTCGAGCTACTGGGCTCGAAGCTAATGATGTCCACAGCAGCCCATCCGGAAACGGACGGCCAGACGGAGCGCGTAAATCGCGTCCTCGAAGACGTCCTTCGAAGCTACGCGACGTCGTTCTCCAGCTGGAGCTCGTTTCTGCCACTGGCCGAGTTCTACACAGAACAACGCGGTACACGCGTCAACTGGGCTGACGCCTTTCTTCGTTAATAACGCGCGACACCCGCGTGTCCGTGCTCTCCTCGCCGTGGGACATCCCACAGCGCCGCGTGTCTCTACTCTGGGGTGGAGAAGAAGCTGCCGACAAGCCGTCTACTCCATCTGCGATGTCTCCGGCGGCTACACCGGTACTGGGTCAACCGGTACATACACCAATTGCTAATGATATCTCGAGTGTATCCCCTGTTCCCACGTCGGTCAACGCAGTGACACGCTCCGCATCGAGCTCACTTGCGCCAGCTAACTACGCGCCGAAGCATGCGGCGCGACCAATCGACTCCGCAGTCGTCTCCGACTTCGTACTACAGCGCCAAGCGGTCACCCGCTATGTTCGAGACGCACTGCAGGATGCAGTGGACAAGCAGAAGGAGAACGCCGATAGGATCGGCCGCAAGAACACGGCCACGTTTACGACAGGCGAACGCGTGCTCCTGTCGACTGAAGGTATCAGAAACTCTGCGGTTACCAACCTCGGCGCGAACAAACTCGCGCCGCGCTTTATTGGGCCATTTACGGTAATCAAAGCCATTGGTGATGCCTACACGCTTGACATTCCTACGTCACTACGTCTGCATCCGACGTTTTACGTCGGACGGCTCAAGAAGTATCACCCCGCTACGATTCCAGAGTCGTCTCAGGCTACTGAGCCGGAGCATGCGTCGAGCGACCTTCTCGACGGGCGCGGCGAGCCATCGACCCATCCGCACCAGGAGTCGGATCTCGAGGCTGCGTCCCCGTCTGCAAACGTCCGTGAACCGACCTCTCCAGCATCTGCAACCGAGCAAGGATATCTCGGTTCGACTGACGCATCTGCGCACTCTCCCCGGTGGCCCGGGCAGTCTGATCGAGAGCCTCATCCAACTCCTGCTGGACATCCCAGTAGCTGTTCAGCAAGTCGTTCTCGCTCTGGGCAGCCAGAGCGCGAGTGCTATCGACGCGACGGCCCTCCTCCTGTTGTTGACGCTGCCGGAGATACCCGCTGGATTGTTGAGTACATCGTTGCCCACGAAGATCCACTTCGCGCTCCCAAACGTCATCGTGGGCTCGCCCACGATGTTCCAGCCGACCGTCGCTATCGGGTACGTTGGCTCGGGTTTCCTCCCGACGAGGATACGTGGGAGCCTCGCGCCAATCTCATTCGGGACGTCCCGAATGTGGTCCAGGCGTATGAGTCCAGCCTCGCTGCAATCCACCTTGTGACACATGCCAGCTCGCACGAGGAGAGCGACTCGAGCGATCACGCAAACGTGATCGAGACCGATGACTTGGTCGACCACGTGAACGGGACCGAGATCTGCGATTTGTGCGACCACGCGAACGTGATCGAGAACGACGACTTGAGCGGCCGCGCGAACGAGACCGAGTCCGATGCCAAGAATCTTCACGTGCAGGGCGTCGGCGTGAGCCGGCGCAATTAGAGGCGCGCACGTTCTCGGCCAACGAGCGACGATACTTCTCGATCCACCCGTGTTCTTGTTCACCGAGCGGATACTCGGCGATGTGGCTTCTCCACTCCTCGACAGTCGGACGCGATCCAGTACAAGTGCCACAACCTTCAGCGACCCTCACGTAGCAGATGCGGCGCATGTCCTCCCATGCGCTGGTGCAGACGCGCTCACGGAGCTTCGTGAGCGAGTGCTCCTTGACGATCTCCTCGCGGTACACACTAGCCAGCCGACGAAGCTCTCCCCTTCTTCCTGCGTCCGGTTCCAACGCCGGATGAAGGCGCACCACGACTCCTGCAATGCGCCATATGCGACACCCTCGACAGGCTTCTGACGCAGTCCTCGGAAGCGCCGGAAGTGATCCTTCATCGTGTCCAGTGTGTCCGGAGCCCGCGCTCCGGATATGTCATAGAGAGCCCATGCCCGGAGCTGGTCGTCCATCACGCGCGTGCCCCGTGCCGCTGCGGTCGACGACGTCGCCGTCGTCGGTGTCCCCATCCGCTGTTGATCCATCGTGCTGTTCGTCGTCTTCTCCGCAAGTCGAGTTATGTCGCTCCTGCGCTTCGCAGGAGATGTCTCCGTCTCTGTTTCGCTCCGCCCGTTATCCAAGTCCCCGTTCGCCATCCTCACGCAGATTGATTTGTTCTTCGCCCACTGCTTATGTTGCGTAAGTGCAACTTTAAGAGGGGGGTAATGTAATGGGCCCCTCCATTACATAAGTAGGTAGATTTCCTTACAAAAGTAGGTGCATCAGCACACGACTAGCGTGTGCTGAAATGCTGTCATGCCATTGGCTGATATATGGGGAGCCAGACCCATTATTAGCCAATTGGACTATGACGTGTATTTGAGTGGCCAGGGCTGTGGCCTTGGTCCTAAAATAAAGTCAGAGTTGAGTTTTTCTTAAACCTAAGACTCAGTCGTCCTATTGCGAGCTTCCTCAACACTATAGTGTAAGCAAGTAACGGAGTAAATACCTGGCCCGTTACAGCAGAGGTCGCAGTACTGAGTATAGACACGCACGTAAAACTCGTACTGTGCAGACCTCCCATGAGATAAGGCGTAGTCTTGAACAGCATGAAGAGCATGTGAAGCAGTATCAAAAGTCATTCCGACCTGAATAGTGTTTTCCTCATCGCCGCTGTCCAATCCATCAGCGATGTCGTCGATGTCCTCCGTCATTTTGCGGCCCTCAGTCGTAATAAGTGGTTTTGGTACTTAAGAGTTATGACGTATTGCGCGCTGTATACCAAGTTGCGAAGTGAGATTAGTCAAAGAGTCCTCAAACTATCCCTATCTACGATCTCCTGCGGCAGCAGTACCTGTCCTTCCTGCTGCTGCTTCAGTAGCCGCGTGCCACCGGCTACGCCTGGTCGCCGGCGTGTGCCGCCCGCTCACTGTCGCCAGTCGCGTTGCCGATATGTCTTGGAGGCACGCGAGAGCGAAACACGAGCCATCGAGGCACGCGCCTCCTCTCAGTATTCGCTGAGTATGTTCAGGCAATGTCGTCTGATACTTGGTGTGCCATACTCCAGAAGAGTGTACGATTTGGGTTTTCATACGCATGGCGAACATTAGTATACAACGGGTTTTTGGGTTTAAGTCCGGCCCACCTTGTTTCAGCCATTCAATCATTTAGACACACATTGCGACGTTTGTTCCCTCAATTCCTCACTTACTGACGCGGGTTTCACTTGGTACACCTACCGGCGATACCGACCACGTTTTGGCACACCTTTAACTTTCTGTCACAACTTTAGTGTATCCACTCACATTTTGTCCTTTTCCCCATTGAAAAAAATGGTTTGTTGGCACTTGTAGAGTAAATTTGCAGATTTGAACCCGATGCTGGAATCCAGTCTGGATGTCGCAATCAACGAACCCTTCTTGTTTATAAATGTAAAGGACTATTATCAAAGAGCCCCCGGATTCAGCTGACATACTCTCAGAGCGCTCTCATGGTTTGCTTAAAGGATCGCTAAATTGGTTCAGCAGATACGGAAGGGTATATGAAGCGTGAAAAAAGCAATCCAAATTTGAGAGCACTGTCGGCAGTTGCAAAATAACCACAGACGGGCCGAGGAAGATGGGCTCTGACCTATGTTGACCAATTCGCACGAGCGGAGTGGCGGGAGCAGCTGCGATTGGACGTGCCAGCTGCTACTCTTACTTTAAGTATATCCGAACCCCCTCTCTCCCAGCCTTTACTTCGGCAAGGAAGACGACTGGCTCCGCCCCTTCACTTGAGAATCCGCGCTTACGTAAACGCTTCGTCGGTCACCGCTTGATCAACGGTCTAGCTCGTAATCAAGGACATCGCGCGCGTCAAGTGAGCCACCTCGCTGATCGATCATGGACGCCTTCCACAACTTGCTTCGCGAAGCCACAAACCCTCGCAACGGCGGCTCTGGCTCGTCACCACTTCCGACGCCTGGTAGCCTAACCCAAGCTTTGCAGAACGCTGGTGGAGGTCACGGTATGGGCATGACGCCCCCGCAACTCAATGGCAACGGAATGGGCTTGCCCATGGGCATGAGCATGCCACTCTCGATGTCCGGCCTGCAGTCCGGCAACACCAACGGCTTAGCACCCATCCATGGGGGCCGAATGACCCCACTCATGGGCTCCAACTCACCCATGTTCCCGAGCCTAGGTGGCAACGGCACACCTACCTCCCTGATGGCGAGTACCGGAGCTTCAACTGCCACGACGACCGTTGCTGCTGTACCCTCTGCCCCTGCTGCTGAGAAGAAGAAGACTACGAAGAAGCGCAAAGCCCCTAGCTCCAGCGCTGACGCTGAATCGGGCGAGGATGGTCGCAAGCAGCCTGAGGAGTACGAGGACCCCAAGGCCAAGCGACGTGCGCAGATCGCCAAGGCCGCCCGTAAGCACAGACAACGTCAGAAGGACGAGCTGATTGCGCTGCGCGCCAAGGTGAAGGACTTGAAGGAGCAGATCGAGGTGCTGCAATCGTCCGAGCCCTCCGAGCATAACACCGAGCTCGGATGGAAGCAGGAGGCCGAGCAGCACGCCGAAATCCGCGCGCGTGTGGACCAGGAGAACGAGTTTCTACGCAAGACGCTGATGGAGCAGATGAAGTTCATCCAGAGACTGCAAGACTATTTCACCAAGCAGCCGCTACTCAACATGCCGTCGCTGGATATGATCCTGAACTCGTCTTCCTCTGCATCCACTACGCCGGCTGCGCTCTCCAACACAATCTCAGCTGCGCCGTCGGTGTTGCAGCTGCAGTCCGGCTCGTTCCGTGACCGACTCATTGAAATGGCCAACGAGTCCATGGTCAACTCGGACAAGCAGCTTACTGCCTGCGAGACGGCTTTCCGCAACCCAAAGACGTCCACGATGACGTACTTCGGTCTGCAGGTGCAGTATGAAATGGGTAAAAACGAAATGGGTATTTTCTTCCGCCACCATCTGTACAACTGCAACTCGAATTCTGTGATGAACGACCTTTGGTCGGTCATTGGTGACGTAAGCTTTGAGAAGGGCTTCGCGTTCACAGAGACCGCTGAGGTCCTCGAGGAAGTGGACCCCAACACCAAGTACATTCGCCGAGTGGTGAATCTCACCATGTCTAACGACGCAGCTGTCGGCGGAGGCATGATGAAGGAGGAGAGTCTGACTGTCAACCAGAAGCGCGACAACCCAGACGGCAGCTTGACAATGATCTCGCGATCCGTTCTGGACGACCCCAGCCACCCCAAGTCGGCTGACCACCTTCGCCGTAACGCCACCACTGCGTACGTACATTTACTGGTGGTACTGGATGAAATTTCTAATTATTGTGAAATGTTTCTTGTAAAATTTACAGAGTGTCACTAAAGAACTTTAGTGACTCGACTGGCCAGGGATGTCTTCTGCTGTGGTCTGTGAAGGTCGAGCTAGATAAGGACCCGGAGGAGCGCGCCAAGAGCTTCAACATTCCGGATATTATCCTCAAGAACCTGTTTGAGGTTGCTCCGGTGTATGTCAAGGGTATCGTGGACCGCTCGCGCGGAACGCTGCCACAGAGCTAAGTCTGCCGTGTGACGGTAGATATTCCAATAAGATGGCACAAAGTCCAACAATCACGAAGGGGGGAGTATGTACGTTTCTGAGTTCGATGCATGTACCTTTACCGACAGGTCAATTGTAGCGTACCTGAAGGGTAAGAGACACAACAAGCAAAGACATTTGATTTAAGCTTTCCGTCCTACCGATAGCGCCTGTCACGGCGATCACTGCCTCGATCGCGGCTACGACTACGATGGCGTCGGTCTCGACTGCGGCTACGATCGCATCGGTCCTTTTTCTCTCGGCTTGGGCTGCGACGACGTCGTTCTCGACTTCGACTGCGATGTCGAGAAGATCCCTTCGATTTCGTCAAAACTGCTGGTGATCGGCTGCGTTGCCGCTTCTCGTCGTCACGACGGTCGTGAGTCTGTGAGGTATTGCCTGCCGCTTCTTCTCTTAATTTTTTGGACGCAGGCAACGAAGGAACCGCAGAGAATTCGGCTGCGCTTTGCGGTGGTTGGTAAATCGCGCTAGAACCAAACAACAGTGTGATAATTTTGTCGCATCTAGTCAACTTCCTCATACGCACCTGTATGACTGCTGCAGACGAGCGAGTGCAGCAGCCTCGCGCTCAGTCTTGGAGGCTTTTACTTTCTGCATTAATAGCAAATTCGTAAAGTTTTCTATGCGCTTTTATCACTACAAACACTCACCTTTTTCCTCATGCCGAAATCATCGTAGCCATCTTCTCCGACCTCCGTCTTAGCAGACGCAACTCTTCATGTAGCATCAGTCACGTTAAAAGATCTTGGCCACAAGGTCCAGCATCTACACCATCTCACCGTTCCTGACGCTCGTTGAATCCACCACCGGCGCCATCTCGTTTCTCGTCCTAACGATACCTTTGAGATCAGCATCTCCACATCTTCCTTACGACTTGGTCAAGCACTTACCAGTCCTATCATCCCTGGCTTAGAGCTCTTGCACATGTTGCACTCGTTACGTCGCTCCCAATTGACGTTACCACATCTGCCACGATTGCATCATAAGTCCATAAGCTAATGCTTCCCTAACTCATCACTCTCCAGCTACTAACGTGTTGCATGTCCAGTCTCCAGGCTGGAAAAGACCTGGCGGGCCTCGGGAGTCGGTTCCTGTTCCTCCTTTGAGTTTGGACTTGTCACCGGTCACTGCTTCGGGTCGGGCAGTCTGACAGCGGTTGCACGAGTTTCGACGCGCAAAGTTGATATTCGAGCAGCTATACACAGACGGACAGTGAGTATCAAATGCCAAGACGCAAGCTTACGCAGAGCATACCCAGGATTGGGGCAAGCCCAGTCCCCGTCCGACATCTGGAACCCTCCACGTCCACCGCGACCTGCCATCCTGGATTCGAATAGAAAAAAGTAGGCGCGAAATAGTTGGATATGCGCTCAGATCTGATTCCTTACAAAACTTAGTCGATTCTCTTTTTACAGGAACATGGCTACATTATTCTCCAGTAACGTCGATAACTGCAGTGGAAGTGTCGGCGTCGGACTCTTCAGATGATTCAATCACCTCTTCTTGAGCCAGTTGAAACAGGAAGACGGCGGTCTCAAACGCCAACTGCCGATCCTGTGCATCTCTTGCAATCACTAAACTCTCGAAAGTCTGCTGCAGCTCCACAAGGCGGTGATTGGCGAACTTGTATCGGATATTCGCGAGTTGGGACTCATCTAGCCGCTGGAATTTATATGTCGAATAGTCTTTCAATGCCTTAAGCTGACGTACCGAGGTGCGCACGCCCTGCGCTGCCCCAGGAGACAGTTCTTGCAATGCTGCTTCCACTGACAGGAGCACTTCGTCCAGTGCCGTCTCGAAAAACTCCTGATTACACCACGATGTGAGTCTCCACTGTACTCTCTGATTCACAGCGAATAGATGCATGATGTACCTTCAATTCGTCGCCGTCCATTCTTTCCAGAACCTCAAACGCGCCGTTTGCGCTACTGAACGCAAACGCACCCGCCATCGGACTCGTGTCTTCGTCCTCATCCAGCTCGTTCAGCAACGCAATCCTCTCATCCAGCAGCATCTCAATATCAAGTATAATGTCTTCTTCCTCTTCAAGTGCAGCTGCTTCATTAATAGCATCTTGTAGCTCGTACTGCTTGAGAACCTTTTCAATTTTCAGGTTCTTCTCCGACTCCAACAGCGCCAATTCCTAGAACGTACCATTGATGAGTACCCATTTACACCGCATCAAATTAGTGCTTCACAGCTATTGACCGATCTATCGGGGATGCCAACACCCTTAGTGTGCATGTATCTCGAAAGCCTCACCTCTACATCAACGTCGAGGATCTGCCTAGCATGCGACGGCGGTACTGTGAAACCATAACCGAAACCATCGCAAAAAGGTCCGTTCAAACTGCTACACGTTACTACACCCGTGGCAGTGGCTGCTATTGTCCCCGCACCAGCACAAGCGGCTACGACGACCGCTACCGGGAGCTTCATTTTCAGCCCAAAATCGCAAGTGAAAAAACGAAACACGTTGCAAAATGTCGTAATGCTACATTCACGTCATCAAAATGGTGTATCTAGTGTGTATATCATTCGTGCAACATCCGCACTCTCGCCGACCATCAATCGCTAGCCGCTCACTACAAGCCTCTGGACGATGACCATGCGCGTGCTCTCCGCCACGAGCGTCGTCAAGACCCACGTCGCGCGTGCCACTTCGTGCTGGGTTCGCGCTTCTTCGACACTCGAGACCCCTAGCACCAAGCCGACGCGCTCACCTACGGCTCTTGGCATCGTGCCACGCCGCTCCAACGTACCAGAGGTGCGTTCTTGACATTATTGAATATCTATTCTTTCAGCTCGTAATTACCGTATTTACTAATCGAATGTGGCGTATGTAGCCTCCTATCGACATTCAAACCGCTCTGAGCAAGTGCAAGGCCCAGAATCTACGCAAATTCGATGAGGTGAGGACCAAATACCTGCTCTGCACTTTACTTTTGCAATTCTTGTGACACAAAGGACTGCTTGCAGACCATTGACCTGGCCGTTCAGCTGGGCGTGGACCCGCGCAAGCCCAACCAGAGTGTACGTGGTGTGGTGAGTCTTCCGAACGGCACGGGCAAGCAAGTGCGGATCGCCGTGTTCGCCCGCGGCCCCAAGGCCGAGGAGGCCAAGGCTGCCGGTGCTACCATCGTGGGTGCCGAGGATCTCGTGGAGCAGGTACAGAGCGGCAAGCTGGAGTTCGACCGTTGCATTGCCACGCCCGATGTGATGCCCTTGGTGGGTCGCGTTGCTCGAATTCTTGGCCCTCGCGGCTTGATGCCCAACCCGAAGTTGGGGACGGTGACGCAGGAGGTTGGTGACGCCATCGCGGCGGCGCGTGGTGGCCAGGTGGAGTTTCGTGCTGAGAAGAAGGGTATCATTCACGCCGGCGTGGGCAAGATGAGCTTCTCGGAGGAGGCACTACTGGAGAACGTGCGTGCTTTCATGGTCGCACTCAGCGATGCCAAGCCGGAAGGCGCAAAGGGCAAGTACATTAAGGTAAGACTTTGGTTTTGTCTTCTGCTACCACGGTGTCGATTTTACTTTTTTATTGACAACAACTAATTGTGTACCCTTAGGCTGCTCACCTGAGCTCCTCCATGGGACCGAGCTACAATTTGGACATCAAGTACCTGGATCCGTCCTCGACGTCTTTCATGCGCTTCGAGTAAGTAGAAGATTACTTCATTAGAAGAGATAGCGCCGTCGCTTATAGACAGCAACAGGATGTGGCCTAATGAAGAGACCATTGTTCACATATCCTTGCTCAATTTTTGCTCCATTTTGTGACGCCCAAATCTGCGGAAGGTATCCGATCTGATCAATATCGGCACATGCTCGGTAGACAAATGGCGGAAGAATTACGCTACTACGCACGCTCAGAGCGCCACCTACAGGCGTTACAGACATGGCTGGAGGCCTCAAAGCCCTCATACCCCGCCTCTGTAGCTTCTGGGGACTCAGATCCGGTCCAGTGCAAGCTGTTCCCACTCCTCAAGACGCAGGAGTTGGGTGGTGTCGTGCTCTACAGCCCAACCCTCGGCTCGACCCAGACGCTACTCCGTGAGACGCTAAAACCTGCCGCTCCTGCAGGTGTCGTGTGTTATACAGAGCTGCAGTCGAGCGGCAAGGGTCGCGGCACCAACACGTGGTCGTCACCCGAAGGATGCCTAACCTTCTCCTTCCAGAGCAGCTTCACGGACGGCGCCACACTTCCCTTCGTGCAGTATCTCGTATCACTGGCCATCATTAAGGCAGTGGAGGCAGTTCACGCCGCAATTCCCGGTAGTGCCGGCCCTGTGAAGATCAAATGGCCCAATGACATCTACGCCAATCAGGTCAAGATCGGAGGAATCCTTTGCCAGTCTGAATACCGCGACGGCAAGTTCAGTGTCACCACAGGTGCGTGATACTTTGCCTAACTAATGGTGACGAGATTAATATTGACACATTTGCAGGCGTTGGCATCAACATTTCAAACCAGACACCGACGATCTGTCTTCAGGACATTTTGGGCACTGAAGAGCACCCTTGCACCGTGACAAAGTGCGTATAGGTGTTATATTTGCTGTATGTTGTTTGCTGCTACTTACCGACAACTTGATTGCCTTGTAGAGAGGAGTTTTTGGCTGCGTTCTGCAACGTGTACGAACCCATGGAGAAGCTGTTCCTCGAGGAAGGCTTTGAGCCATTTATGACGGACTATCTCGCGCGGTGGTTGCACTCCGATCAGGTTGTGCAGGTCGCGAGCGGTGATGATGCAGGTGGCAAGAAGGTGCCGGCAGTGATCAAGGGACTCACCAGCACGGGATGTCTATTGGCGCAAGGTGGCGATGGCTCTCGTCTCGAACTCTATCCGGACGGGAACTCGTTCGACTTCCTGACGGGTTTGTTGAAGCGCAAGTTGTAAGTCATGTGCGAAAGGAAAAGATTAGGACGTAATTTCGTTTATTGTATCCGACTATTAATGCAACCACGGTCGTCTCTTCACTTGGATCCGAACTCTTCTTCCCACTTGACGAATCGCTCCAGTTGGTCCTTACCGACAGACTTCGATACGTTTTCAAGCGCTGTCTGGAAGTCCGCCCACGTGACTTCCAACGCATTTTTCTCGTGTGCTTGAAGCTCCTCATCGGACGCTCCTTCCATTTGTTTGCGTTGCAAGTCCTTGAGAACCTCGGGTGTGTATAGACGCTTTACTGGCATCATCTTTGCGGTATCACACAGTCCGCAGATATCGTCACCGCTATAGCCCTGTTTCACAGTACGCTAGGTCAGATAGCTCCAACCAAGTCGCAATGCATTTATCCTCACCTCGGTTGCAGCAACGAGCTTGTCAAAATTGACATCAGAAGCCACATCCACCTTCTCCAGGTTAATCTTGAAGAGCTGTAAGCGTCCTTCAGCTTCTGGTAGTGGGATATCTGTCTCATTGTTGACAAATATTAGTTCACTTACTAGAGACACAGCACGTCTCTGAAGTGACGTACAGACTCGCTTAGTAAGGCGACGTCGCATAGCTTCATCCAGTTCCCAAGGTAGGTTGGTAGCGGCAAGAACCATCACGCGGTTGCCAGGGTCTGCAGGGTCCCCCGAGGATACTCCATTGATTTGAACGAGCAATTCGGTTTTCACCCTGCAACAAGAGAGCTCCTTAGTTCAATACACAAAGAAGCAGTGCTTTGATACGGCTTACCGGCGACTCGATTCGTGTTCCTGCGCACCACCACGCACACCAGCAATGGCATCGATCTCGTCCATGAATATAATCGATGGCGAGTAATATCGTGCCATGTCGAAGAGGATCCGCACCATGCGCTCCGACTCACCTCGATACTTTGAAGCGAGAGTGGACGCCGACACGTTAAAGAACGTGGACTTGCACACATTAGCTACAGCCTTTGCTAGTAGCGTTTTACCGGTACCGGGTGGGCCGAACATGAGGACACCGTTGCATGGTTTTAGAAGACCGTCCTTGAAGAGATGAGGGGCGATCTGAGGCAACATGACGGATTCCTGTAAAAGCTCCTTAGTGTGCTCCAACCCTGCAATCTGCTCAAAGGTGACCGCTGGTCCCGAGTCTACGATATCGCGCTCGATCATCTCAATAAGCTCCAAGTCCACCCATCCTTCTTCTTTTGCTTTGTCCGAGTACTTGGGCTTCTCACTGCCGCCTGCACGTTCTCTTGCCTTTTCATTCTCTTTTCTAGCGGCCTTCAGTCCTCCATCCTTGCTTTGTCTGGCTGGAGATGGACCTTGTGCAGGTTTACCTCCTGCTCGACGTGGCCCTTGTCGACGTTGGTCATCTCCGGGTGTACGTCTTCCTGAAGGTACAGCTCTAGATCCCGCGGATGACTTTCTAACCGCTCGACTTCACTTGCGAATTAGTCAACAGTCCACGAGATAAAATACATGCACAGTCACGAACTTATTGCGGTGATTGTTATTGTTGCCGTTGTCATTCGCCCACGATGGCGCAGCATGAGCAGGAGCACCTCCATGAAACCTGTTTGGAATCTTTTCCGGTGTCGGAGGCGCCCACACATCAGGATCTTTTGCATCTTCGATCTGTTCACACAATGTACAAGTTGAAGCGTTGCAGCTTGTAACCAGGATACTAAATCAAACTTTACACTAGGATTTGGGCGTCGTGGATCAGGTGGAGCATAAATCTCCCAGTGCGGAGAAGCTGAGACTCCCTGGTGCGGTGTTTTGGGGTGGATTCGCGCTTTAGCTGCGTCAGGTGGTGTCTTGAAAGCCTGGGTAAGCTCGACATAGTCCGTAATGAGGTTCAACTCACTCTCCAGCTCAATCTGCATCTGTAAGAGCTGACACCTTAGCGATAGTAAAACACTAAGCTTATGAGACTAATGGGTACCTGCAGCCACGGCTGACGCTCCGACATCTTGGTTATTCGACGGATGAATTGAGTCAGCTTCTGCAGAGTTGTACGGTACAGCTCCAAGCCCTTTTCGTACTGTGCTTCCAGACACAACTCCCTCGCTCGAGTCATGGCCTCTCCCATTTCTCGGATGTCCTGTAGCTGCATGCTCGCCATGGCGCAATATCTATCCACCTTGCTCAAAGTCTTTAAAAGTCACTACCTGAGCAGACGCCTCGATAGAATTTTTATATTTAATATTTGCTAGATCAATCTGCATTTCCACATCCTGTTTTTTCATTGGATTATTCAATTAAAACTTTGCCTCTGCTTCCTCATCTCGACACATCTGCTCCTTTAGCACTCCAGGGACCCGCTTTGTTCGTTGCGATTTCTTGTCCCATGGCGCTTCCTACGACACCATCTTCTTCTCTCGTCGTATGAGTCCGCCCGCGGGATCTACTGGTTCCCGTCGCGAATCTCACATTTACGCACTACACATGCACAGAATCTTCATGGGAAAACTTAACGCTCAAGCATTGCGTGCTCGATGAGGTCGCTGAGTTCAGAAGCCTGATGTGCGTAGAACTCGCTGGACGTCGTCTTTATATGCAAAAGCTCCTCTTCCATGGCTGAGAGCAACAGCACAAGCTTCTCGTAGTCGCCCTGACATTGCATGTGTAGACTACGCATGATACGCTCGCGCGTCTTGGCGCGGTCCGGTGGTGACAATTCTTGCCGCCATTGTGACGACGTACGGCGAGAAAGACGAGGACGCTTGGCAGCGCTCGCAGCCACGTCCGTCCGTTCCTGAGGTGGCGAAGAAGGAGGTGTGCGGCGCTTGTAAGAGCTGTTGGTCTGTATATTCACTGTCGGGTCTGGCACAAGGAGGTTATGTATACGCCACGAAGACGTGGTTGGTGGCGTCTGGACGAGTCGACTCGTAGAGGTGACGGTGTGTCCTAGACTCGCCGTGGGGTCTAATAGTTCGTTCTGCGGACTCGCTTCCCACACGGAGCGAGGCGACGTCACGTTGTCGGGCAGGCGAGGTGAACCTAACTTACTGGACCGACCGAGAAACGCTACAAGCGGCGACGCCAGCGGAGCCTTGGCCTCTATAAAGCCACCGGTGTTGCTGATTCTGAGTTGTTCCTGAGTAGTCGCTTCGCTTCGCTGTAGCATCACCGCTGGGTGCATGGCGCTGGCAGAAGCCTCAAGCGACATGACGGGTCGCGGATTGCCTGGCAGCTGACGCCGCCGATGCAGTTCGCGCTGGTCCAAAAGCGGCACTTGTTTGTCCGCGTGGCTCGCAAGTAGTCCTAAAAGACCGTCGGCCGCATGCTCTGGGCCAAATACAGCGCGGCTGGGAAGCAGCCGAGGTATCCGCGGAGCGTCGCTGTCGGTGTCCGACTCTGGGCTGCGCTCACGGCGCTCCGCCGCTCTGTAGTGCGTTGACATGGCCAGGAAGATTGTCAAATACTTGCACGCAAAGAGAGAGAGAGAGAGAATCAAAATGCAGCGAGAGCTTACCGGTGTGGGGACAGGTGTTGGCGCTGTTGCATAACTCGCCGAATAAGGATTTTGCACCTCTGAAGAAGACCGCGTTGTGCGGTGATTGGCTGGAAGTTAGAAACGAGAGCGAGAGCAAAAATTCGAACCAAAAACTGGGCTTCAAGAACCTTGGTTTAGCATTCCGATATACTAGCTGTTCGTATTGACACAAATTAAGTTTAAAAAAAGATACCTAAAATCGAGGTCAATAGCTAGGATAGATTTAAAGCGAGGAAGGTGGACCTTTAAACATGAAACAGCCTGGATGCAAGAATCTTCTTTTTTAGCTTTTGCCATTTCCTGTGACACTGCAATTTGCCAGAGCTATCTCGCGTCTGGTCGACCGACAAAGCGGCGTGATCTTCGTCAATACAGACACCTCCGTCTCTCGATTACCATATATAGGCGCTCGGACTCCGATCCTTGGAGTACATCTACGCTTATGTTATACCCTGCCATTGGAGTACATCTACGCTTATGTTATACCCTGCCGAGCAGTTTTGCTTTTTTCGCTGTTCGGCCTCGTCTGCATGTGCAAGCTCTGTACACGTCGTAAAGTTCACGACGCCGCACGAGGTCTGGATCGACTCCATCTCGACTCGGCACTGTCGAGTGCACAATTGGAATGGTATTGTACACTGTACAGTGTACATGTACAAATACAGTAAGCGACCTATCGTATCTGAAGCCAGATGGCCGCGCGGAATCGCTGCGACGCGACTTGTTTCCTGCACACATTCCGCCCTTGGGGAACGGGTTGGCAGCATTTGTGCACTTACATGACTTTTATTTCGACGTACTGTAATAACTTTTTAAAAACTTTGGGTGGGAAGTCTCGGCATTGTGACCGAGCTACACGCACTTTTTTCATTCCTCTCCCTTTTGAAAGATTCGGGATGGAACAGAAGAAGAGAATACCGGTAGAGTCAACAGCCTTTCTCCTTGAAGCAACAACGGGCAGCTTCACCACCGCTGACGGCAACGCCAAAGCCAACACTCTCTTCATTGATTTTGTAGCCAGCTGAGCAATTGCACTTTGGCGTCTCTCAACACCCAAAAAGCAGAAAGCAACACGTACATGTACTTTGAAATTGCTCTTATCATTCTATTCTCACTTTTGGAGATGATCTATCCTGGATAAGATTTGTTTATTCAACCCTCAAGAGTGATTGCAGTTATATTAACCCCTTGAACCCGAAGTGTGTTTGGGCCCCCCATCTCCCTAAACCCTAGCTGATTTAACGTGTATATGAGGTAAGGGTTTCGATACAAATTTATATACACTTCGCTATCGTGTATAGTGGATAGGCGCAAGCTAAGCCTATTCACCAGAGGAGGCACCACTCGCTATCGGGTATGTACATTATTGAATTGGTCAGCAATACACGTTTGTACTTCAATCGTGTAGGTCGTTCAATAAAGTTGAGCCTGGTATGTGGTAGAGTCATGGCGTCAAGGTGTAAAGTCGAGTGAGAGAGGTGCATAACACTAACACTAACAACAGCTGCAACAAGGTTGATTTGCGCGGCATTATCAATAGTGAAACTAGATCAAGATAGACGGACGGTATCAGCTACTCAGGCAGTCATCACAGGGCTGGCAGGAAGACGGGGCCGCTTGGAATGGCTGGGACTCGTATTGGACTCATCATTTGGTTCGTCGCTGCCCTCGGCTCCTTCTGAATCATCTCCCTGAACTTCTTCTCCAGCACTCTCCTCACTGGAGTGCTTCTTCGCCGGCGCACGCGCGCGAATCGTTCGCTTTTTTGCCCCAGTAGGTGCAGGTGCCAACGTCCCATTTCGCCACGCACTGTGCCAAATGTCAAAGCAGCTCATCGCCTTCCCATTCACTACATGTCGTGCTTTCTCACAGAGAAAAACACGCCAGGCCAGAGGTTTCTTCGACGAGTTTGGAAGCTTGCACTTACTGCAGTACACGGATGAGTCGCCACCGCGAGCTCCGTCAGTGCCTTTGAGTATCGAGCAAACTTTGCACGCACGAGTTCGTCGCTTCCTCCCCTTATTGTTGTTGCCAGCACGCCACTCGTCATTTAGCTGCGGTCGATGGGCGGGTTGTCGTCGGCCAGTAGCATCGCCACTTCTAGAAGGTGTCGCTTGGAAGCATTCGTTGCTCCGTAGACTATCCCAGTCCTCCTCACGCAGCTGGCACAACTCCAAGTGCAACTTCTTCAGAAATGTGACGTGGTTCACCTTTGGAAGGTTTGCAGTAGCGCGAGCAGCGTTGTACACGATGTATGCGTTGATAATTACGAGGTCAATAAGACCAAGAAAGAGAGACTTGTAGTACTTCTTGAATTTGATGCAAAGCTGCAGCGAGTATCTGTAAGGTGAGCATACATGATTAGATGCTAAGGTAGGTTGTATAGACACGATAAGAACACTTTACCTTTGTAGCCTTAGTTGGTCATGCACGTCGACGCCCCCCATGAACGTTTGATAATCTTTGACAACACGAGGGCACACAACTTCTTGTTGCTCTCCAGTCAGCTTGTCGCGACGTACGATGCGGTCCATTTTCACGCTACCACCCGTGCTAAGCATATGCACCGCCCGAGTATCCCACCCCCGCAATTATCTCATGTTCGGAACGTGGAGCGCATCTGATGTGATGAACGTCCCTCGTTCAATATTTGCAGGTCGATTCTTGGATATTTTAGGAGACTTAGTCCCATGCATTTTCTTCTTCGGGAAGAGCTCTGCACTGAGCCCCAGTCGGTCGGAGCGCACCGTTCCAATAGAATAGAAGCTAATCATCCGTAACTTCATTGACAGCGCCACAGACGAGTAATAGTTGTCCATGACAACGAGTCGCATAGTTCCATCTGAAGGTGGTTTCGGTCCAAAAACTTTGCGGAGGTTCCGACCCACAGCAGCTGGCCCTGTCATCTCGTCAGTTGAGCTGGTGACTCCTGCTCTATCCTTCTTACCACAATAGACTTCAAAACTGTTGCATACAACATAGGAGTGAAGAGACACTGCCCAAGTTACGTCACCACTTTGAGCAGTCACAGCGATAGGACGCGGGCTTCCACGGCTTGGCGTTACTGGATTCTCCTGTAGCTCTTCAGTGTCATGTGCTGGAGCGATACAAGCTAACGCAAAAAGACATGATTAATGTCAAGATAACGTGTATATACAAGCTGCCTCACGTACCTTTAGCTGGAGCTGGATTTTGTGGCGACTCACTTTGCTGGGAGGCTTCGGACGCTGCTGTAAGCTCCGCTACGACATTAAAACGTGTCAATGCAAAGCAAACAAGTAGAAGAGCACAGGTAGTCCTACCCCGATCCATCGCGTCCAAGTAGAGCATCAACTCGTTTTCTCCAACGAAAAAGTCGACACCGCGCTTGTCCTTCTTGCTCTTTTCCGGCTTCAGGTACGTGAAGTCGACCGAGAGACCGGTTGGTCTCTTCGAGGTCCATCCTGCTTTCTTCAGCTTGCACCAGCGAGCGCGGAATGCCATGACTGTGGCTCGAGTCTTGTCCGCCAAATCTTCAAATGAAACCGTTTGAGTGGTGTCGATCATTTCCCTGCCATTACTTATATGAGATTTGGCACGCGTGTCTATCTCCTCTAACTTCTTATACGGGCGTCCTTTCTGCGCGACTCATCTATGCACTTCCAGCGGGAAGCTTGGATACATCACCTACCCCGCGTTGACTTGACCTTTGTAAGAGCATATACAAAACACAAGTATAAATTTCCTTAACGTGTATGGTCCAAGTTAAGAAAAGGAGCGTAACGTGTAAGGTCCAGGCTCTTGGGTTCAAGGGGTTAATAAAAAACACCATGGGCCACCGTTCAGCCGGACAAAATTTGTCCAGCTGAACGGTGGCCCTTGGCATTTAATGCAGCACAGCTGGGGTTGTCACGGTATACGGCTGGATGAGGGACTCGACCTTCTCGCCGAATGTATTCAGAAGCTCAACGCGTTTCAGGTGAAGCGCACCACGTCTAACCAACTGGGTCATTCGCCTCCGACGTCGGCGTTCCCGGCATAAAAAGGAACGCCTGTCGACGGCTGATCTCAAGATTTGCAGTGGACCGCCACGTAGGAGGATCTGTAGAGCGGTAGGGGGCTGCTCTCTCTCGTGGACATCGAGGAGAGCAGCTGAGTCGTGGTTTTCCTCTTTACCTCACAAGTAACTGAGAAGACAAGCAATACATTTGTTTTACGTTTATTACGTTAAGATTTCCTACGGTCGGTCTGCAAGATACACGACCCCGATCAAGGAGGAATACCGCGACAATTTGGTGGAGAAGCAGGGTATCTTCTTACCGAAAAATCGTAGGAACGTAAGAGCGGAGGAGAGCGCTACAAGACTTCAGGCAACGGAACGTCTGAACAAGAAGGAAGGACAGTGGGTACGCTATGAGCTTCCGCGACCTGTCCGACACGTTGGGCGAAGAAGCGCTGCCCTTTTCCGAAGTTCCAGAGGAAGAAGAAGCGGCGCGTGTGGAAGTGAATGCGGGTGAGAACGCGCAAAGAGAACCTCCTATTGGAGAGAGAGAACACGTCGAAGCGGAACGCGGAACGCGAGGTCAAGATCAGCAAGCGGCTGAAGGCTACGAGGCACAGGCGGCTCAAGGTGACGATGACAATCTGTTCGACGGGGCTCTCGCGTCTCCCCGAACGAGAGGGAGGATTACCTC